CATTTATTACTTCATATGTTAAAAAAAATGATACAAAATCGTTCAATATTGTATGAATTCTTACGTTTACAAAAAAAGTCACACAACCCTTCCACATATACTACTAATGATAAACTTCAAAATTTACGAATATAATGAGTGGGAATATAATGCTTATCTATCATAAAACCATATGAAATATCAATTTTTGCTTTACGCCTAATTTTTGACGACAATTAGCAAAAAATGTTAAATGTTAACACTCAGTCCATTTGAATATGAAAAATAAAATTGACTTTGATTAAATGTTTTTATTTATCATGCAATTCTTCTTGCGACCAAAGATTTGAATCAAATTTCAAAAAATAAGATAGCTTAAAAAATAATATACGGTAGTGTTTACTAATAGATGAATAGTATATAAATTCTATTAAAATGGATTTGATCCAAAAAATATATAAAATTTGATCATAAATAAAATCGTTTTAAATTACTTCTTCATTTAAATTATAACAATTATTTTTGGTTTTATATCCACATTACATACTTGGTCTGAAATTCATATACTTTCCTGAGGAGACATTGTAAAAGATACCTAAAAGTCCAAAAAATTAAAATCTGACAGCGAATTTGTCTGATTTTTTTTTGTTATTTTGCTTTATTTCAATATACCTTCATAAGCTTGTCATTAAATTACTATTGTAAGGGATTATATACTTAAGTAATCAAATTATAATTGTTGGAATATACACGAATTAAGGGTGCACACGAGAGGATCATGTAAACTTCAGAATTTAGAACCTTATTTTTAGGCATTATCTTGGCTACCTATTTAGGCTCGAAAAGCAAAAAATATCAAAAAATACAACTTGACTCCATTATGACCCTTTCATGGAGGTAGTTTTTATCCGCTAGTATTTTCCCTTTGAATCTCTTTACAATTCGAAATCAAATTCAAATCTCAGTAGAAGAAAGGAAGAATCGACTTACTACGGTTGTAATACGAATAAATACATATATTTAATTATTTTTATTTACATAATAATTGTTTGAAGCTCATATTCCAACAAATTTTTAAATAAAAACATTAAAATGTTGAAAATGTTCATATATTTTAATAGGTGTTTGGCACTTTATTGAGGAATTACTACATACATAGTCGAACTGAACTTGATATTTTGAAATTTAAATTATTTATCAAAATTAAAATTTAACTTGAAATTTATAATTATTTAGTCATATTTTGCATAATTCTAAGTAGATTTTGTAAAAAATCAAGAAAGAAAAATTTTAACGTGCTTTATTTTTTCTTTTTTATAATAATACATATTATTATATAATTAACATATTCATAATGTTTCACCCTTTCAAAAATATAATCCTCCTCCTCTCAAATAAACGTACATACGGGTGGCCTCTTTTTTCAAAAAATTAAAATTCAAAATTTTGGGCTCAAATATTAGAGATTTTTTCAACCTTCAACGATATATGTTGTCTATATCAGAGCTCCTTTCTTTTTGATACTTAACATTGTTCCTAAATCTTAGCCGTTAAGGCTGTTCTGAAAATATTTTTTTTTCGAAAAAATTCGAAAAAATTCTTAAAATTCAAAAATCCCTTAATTCCTGAGGATTTTGGAAAAAAGTTTTTACATGAACATGTGTATATTATATGAAGTATATTGATAAGGTAAAAATCAAATTTTATTGCATATTCATCGAGAAAATAAACTAACGAATCCCTCAAAATTGAGAGGGTAATCCTCCTCATCTCAAATAAACGTACATACGGGTGCACCCTTAATATATCATACCGAAATGCATCACTAGCAAAAGTGACATTTGGCGCCAATTTTAAATTAGTGGATTTTGTGTTTATTATTTAAAAAATATAATTGATAAAATATAATTAACATTAATAGAATAATATGGATAAGATTTGATAAAAAACAATCATAAATTTTTTTTGGGCGCCATATAGAGAACTATAGTCTGCGAGGTACTGATTCTATCCATGTACCTCGCAGACCATAGTTCTCAGCCAAAATGGCTGAAAATTGCTCACAATTGTTGAAATTGTGAGCAATTTTTAGCCTTTTTGGCTAAGAATTGGAGGGTGTGAGTACTATAGCATGTAATAGTATCTCACACCCTCCAATTCTTCCTATGGCGCCGAAAAATTTTTGGTGAAATCCGACGACATTTCACCAAAAATTTTCGGCGCCATATAGAGAACTATAGTCTGCGAGGTACTGATTCTATCCATGTACCTCGCAGACCATAGTTCTCAGCCAAAATGGCTGAAAATTGCTCACAATTGTTGAAATTGTGAGCAATTTTTAGCCTTTTTGGCTAAGAATTGGAGGGTGTGAGTACTATAGCATGTAATAGTATCTCACACCCTCCAATTCTTCCTATGGCGCCGAAAAATTTTTGGTGAAATCCGACGACATTTCACCAAAAATTTTCGGCACCATATAGAGAACTATAGTCTGCGAGGTACTGATTCTATCCATGTACCTCGCAGACCATAGTTCTCAGCCAAAATGCCTCTAAAATTTGTATACCTATAAACTCAAACTTCAATATATTCGATTTTATTTTTATAATTAATTTAAATATATCCATATAAGGATGTCAATTTGGAAGAAAAGTGAGAAAATTCCTAAAATGCTAAAAATGAATTTTCCAAACCTACTTTTGCATCTCATTTTTTTGATTTGGAAAAAAAATTTGGAGAGAAGAACTCTTCGTTTTTGAATTTTGTCACGATGGTTTTAAAGTATATTAGACACATGTATTGATATTACTATTTTTGTATATTTTGAGAGAAAATCCCTAAAAAGTGAGAAAATCTGAGACGGTTTGAGAAAATATATAAACTATTGAAAATTTGAATTAAACTTCTAATTTGGAAAAAAGAAATTTGGAAAGAAGAAAATTCAAAAATCGAGATTTAGACTCAGTATCAAATGGAGAACAAAATGTTTCTTCATATGAAGGAAAAAATTTTCTTGAGAAGAAATAGAGTTTTTAAAATTTTATTGTATGTAATGAAATAAACAAATATTAAAATTATTTTTTGATAACAAGAAAATTCTCAACAGAAAATATTTGAGACAAAGAAAAAAAGAAAATTGAAAAATATTACTCTCCTTTATATTTCATGAGATTTTCAATTTATTTTCATAAAATTGACAATTTTATACGTTTAGATGAAAATAAGTGATTTTGCTTGAAATAAAAATTATTGTTTGTTTACAGCTATCAAATAGATTTTTGTTGTAAACAGAAATTGATCAAAAGTGACACCTCAGAAAAGCTAAAATATTGAATTTTTGGAACTTTTGATAGAGCACGTTTTTAAATATTAATTAAAGTAAATGTATATTTTGTAAAGATTCTTTTTAATAAAAAAAATAAAATTTTGAAGAAGAACACAAAATCTTCTGAAAAATAATATCATATAAACTCATATTATTTTCTAATATATAACTATTTTATATAAAAATCAAATTCAATGATCTTAAAAGCGAAGGATAAACCTCAAAATTTACGAATCTAATGAGTGGGAATATAATGCTTATCTATCATAAAACCATATGAAATATCAATTTTTGCTTTACGCCTATTTTTTGACGACAATTAGCAAAAATTGATATTTCATATGGTTTTATGATAGATAAGCATTATATTCCCACTCATTAGATTCGTAAATTTTGAGGTTTATCCTTCGCTTTTAAGATCATTGAATTTGATTTTTATATAAAATAGTTATATATTAGAAAATAATATGAGTTTATATGATATTATTTTTCAGAAGATTTCATTCTATATGCCTATGAAAAGTACTCTCAAAACTAACTTTTCCCTAATTATAATTAAATCTAGAATATTGTATTATGCTTAGTATTATTTCATTTTTCTCATTCAATTTAGAATTTACAAATGTCAAAAATTGAGAGTTGTCACTTTTGATGAATTTCTGTTTATTACATTTTTGCTATTTTGATTAAAATTTGTTAATCAAATTAATAATTTTTTTTTCTAAATATCTTAAATATCTGGCTCACTCACTGATACGATGAATTAAACGATAAAAATAATACAAACTCAACTAAGTTTCCTGTCTTTCAACCAAAAAATATTATGCAATTTAAATTAAATTGTTTATTCAAAGATAAAACAAAGATAAAGTAATTATAATTATCATATACTTTATGAATAACTCTCTAATTGGATAAGATTTTCGTACAAATATTTTTATTAATATCGATAAGAATATGTTTACCTACTATCACCATATGTCGATAAACGAGAGTAGAGTGATTTTTATCATCGAAACTTTTTAAAAGCTGTAAGCAGGAAGTAATAATCTTGTTTTTTCTGAGTTAGTTGTAGAACTATTGATGCCCGAGTTATCATTGTGATGCAGAAGGATATCAATGTACTGACTGAAGGATATGAATTGAATTTTATTGAATTTCAATTTGATCAAAATATGTTGAAATGATATGAATGTGTCAACTTCTGTATCATTCTCCTTCACTCCTTCCTTATTCTTTCGAGAACGAAGCTAGCTCAGCTTTCGCTGAGCGAATTGACACTTTTCATGCCCTAAACGTACATACTCTCAAATTTATCGAAAAAATTAATACCACCTAAATTAGTATATTCAAAAAAAATAGTGGGGCTTCCAGGCGCGTTGCGCCCTCTAGCCCATAAGAAATTTTGCCCAAGACCCAAGAGGAGGACCGAACCCCAGCCGACCAGCCGTTGACTTTTTTGTAGAGCACTCAAAATAGTATAACTTTGTCCGGACAAGTAAGGGTCTATCGTCGCTACAGGAAAAGTTACAGGCGTTCCAAGGAAGTATACTTTGAGAAGCCTTTTTCCCCTTATAGAATGAGATAAGACGGTTATTTTACAAAACTGACAACACTTTGACCGAGTAGTTTTTTGTGCTGAACAAAAAGTGTCATATAAACATCTGTCAAAAACCGCTTTTTAACTTCACTTAAAATGCCACGTAAGCTACGTAAGAATATACGTAAGAGGAAGGGAGCATTGAAACATCCAATAGTAAAACTGACACCACAACAACAGTTGCAACAACAAATGATGAATGACCCCACTATGTTGCAACAAATGTCAAGCAACCCTATGCTTTTAAACCGAGTTATTGGTGCACAGAGTGGAGGTTTAAGAGCGGCACTTTTAGCGAAAATGGCAGGCTATGGTGGAGCTGCAGACGGAACAGCTTATAACCCTCAAAGTCAAATGAATTTGAGTTCACTCAAAAATCAAATAACAGATGTCAAAAAGTCAAACATAGACATACAGAAACAAATAAGTGAAAACGAAAAGAAACTAGAATATGACAGACACACAAAGAAACTCAATGAGTTAAACGTAGAGAAAAAGAAGAAAGAAGAACAACTGAAAGAACTAAGTACAGAGGAATATGCGAAAAAAGTGTCAGAAAAAGCAGCAGAAGTAGCAAAAATGGAACAAGATGTTATAAATTTGAAAAACCATACTACTCAATATAAAGTACTGAAAGATGAAGAGATAAAACAAAAAGCCCTGAAGACATATATGGATAGCGATGAGTATAAAAAAGAAGTTGAAGCAAATGTAAAGGCAGAAAAACTTTTACAGTTGCAAAACCAAACCGTACAGTATGAAAACTTAGCACAAGAAAGTAAAAATAACGACGCAGCCATGCAAAAGGCAATGAAAAGCGCAGAATATATAAAAGCTAATAATGACTAGTTAGATGCCCAAGCCAACGCTAAAGCAGCCCAACTTATAGGGTCAATAAGGACAAAAATACAAGCGGATGAAGACAGTTCAAATGAAGCTTTAATGAATGCTGACTTTAAGAATGCCTTCGAAGCTCTTCATAGTAAGGTGAAACTAGTGAACGACTTCTCATCTGGAAAGAAACTGAAGTCTGAAGGTTTCGACAAAGAGTTAAGAGAAGTAGCACAAAATATGACGAAAATAACAGATGCAGCAACGAGACAGGCAGTTCAAAGTGCCTATGACGCCGTTAGAGCAACTGTTGTGGAAAGTCAAGAAAAAGAGTTACAACAGACCAAAACAGACCTAGTAAATGCTTTCTTAAGAACGAAAAGTCAGGTAGGACATTATGCTGCAGATGGAACATATGTGCCAGCTGGTGGAACTTATATACCACCAAACCCTCCAAGAGAAGCACCTGCACCAGGACTACCTAAACATTTACATCGTCACATGGACACAGACACAGGCATGCACCAAAACCAACACAACAACCAACAGTTCAAAATCCAGCACCACAACAACAACCAACAGTTCAAAATCCAGCACAGCAACCAACAGTTCAAAACCCTGCACCTGCACCACAACCAAAACCAGCACAACAACCACCTCCACAACCAGCACAGCAACCAACAGTTCAAAACCCTGCACAGCAACCACAAACAGAGCAAAGACACAAAAGAAGTAGAGAACAAGGAAACCAAGAATTCTTAAAAATGCTTAAGGAAGATTATGGTTACCCAGATACTCTTGACTTTAGTGACAGATATAAAGAAGCTATTAGAAAGTTCAAGGAAGGAAATACTGACCCGAACCTATTTAGCTTTATGGCTCAGCATAAAATCGGATATAATCTCAAACCTGGAAAATACAAGCTCGCTAAGGGATATGATTTAATAGCATATCATCCAAATGACATGAATGAATTTACTCCGAGATATTTGGTGTCAGAGATAAATGATAATTCAACTCTCTTCATGAAACGCGTAAAAAATAGAGACGGAACGAAAGAAGAAAGGTTTATGAGTCCGGATGACTTAGATAGGGAACTTGTTAAAAACGGTCTCGGAATATATGAAATGCCACCAGATGAGGTACAAGAAACTCCACAGGAAGAAGTTCAGATACAACCAGACATGGAAGAAATAGTTCAGCAACAACAGCTAGAAGAGCCTGAAGGAAACGAACAAGTCCCTCCTTTGGAAACTAACTTTACAGAACTAGATGAAGATTTGGAACAGCCGAAAAATCTTGACCCTCAACAAGAGTATGCGGAGAATATGGAATCTTTCCAAGAGTCTAAGAAAAATTCGGCTGACATAGTAGAAGAATATCGAAAAATGTTCGCCGACATACAAAAGACTCCAACATCAGATGAAAATATTCAGCATAGAATGGAAGTACTGAAAGAAAATGTACGCAAATACAATAATCCTTTTTACTTACGACCATATAACGTTCAATCTTTGGCTGAACTCGGTGAAAATAAAAGGTTAAATTTCAACAAAACATATAGAAATGAAACATTGTTTAAAGTTCATTCAGAACCTAACCAATATGGAAACAAACCTACTTTTGTTTCTGCAGACTATGGAACTACAATGAAATGGGGTCATAAAGCTAATCCGGATAGGTGGTTCATAAACTTACAACCTCAATTCCAAGAAGTTGTAGACGCAATGGAAGTGAATGGTGAACCAGATATAACGGGTATTTTCAGCGCAGCTTTAATGCCATTGAAAGATATGAAAGATGCAGATATTTTGGACCAGTATGAAATGAACATGGCTGAGGGAAATATAACACCTGACGTTCTAGAACATTTATCTCAAAGAACTACACAGAACCATAGAGATGGTATATTTGGTGAAGAGTTTAGAAAGAAAGTTAGGGAGAGAGAAGGAAGAGAACCTATTGTACATGACCTTGCAAACGAAAGTTTGCAAAATGTCATAAAAACTTACTTTGCAGACAATGAACTGAGAAGGGATGAATATTTAAGAAAACTCAAATGGACAGTACCAAATGAAATGTTAGTATTGAAAAACATGTTCCTTGACAAAATAAAAACCAACTACAGAAATAAATGACGCAAGACTGAAACATTGGGTAAAAGCTTTCCCATTCACAAAAGATATTATTGGTACATGGAAAGAAAACCAGAATGGCTACAAAAACATATATTTGGAAACGAGCTTATTCCATATGGACAAGCTCTGTTTGAAGAGCTTGAACCGGAAACTCAGGAAAGAGTCATGCAAACAATAAGCGAAGACTCAAATACAAACTATGACAAAATCTTTCTAGGATATAGGTTACCTGAGATGGGCGACCAGAGCCCAAAGGCAAAAAGGACATGGGAAATTTACAACATACTAGGTGAACATGAGGCAAAGATGCTAACAACTTGAAGCAGAGGGCAAGTTACCAAAAGCGACACCAAAGAAGAAGAGAAGAGTAGAACAAAGTGAAAGTAGTGAAGAAGTAACTTCATCTAGTGAAAGTAGTGGCAATGAAGGAAAAAGAGTTAAAGATTCAGTTAAAAACTCAGTCAGGAAGAAAGTAAAGCTTGGTCCGAGTGGGTTCTATTATGACATATAAATCCAACTATTCTATATTTTTACCCATATGAAATGTACGCCGCTCAGAATATAACGCCAACAGTTTTGGATGCCATGAACGGAAATGTTTCCGAATGGTATAACGAATGCGACAATGCCATTAGAAGGTCAGAAATAGTTCCGGAACTTACGAATATACAACTGCTGTTTCTTATGGAAACGTAGGTGAGTTTGGAGAAGGTTCTTCAACAACAGTAGATATTGCTTGCGACAGGTTTCATATTATTTCTATTGACAACTCATTCTTATACGTGGAACAAGACATTGAAATAAAACCTTCTGCCAAGTTGTCTGACAAGAAAGGTTGCAATGGAATTTTCTATGTCGGATACCAATATGCTCCAGAAGTTTTCATGGGATATAAGATATATTCTAACTCTGACTTAGTTCAAACAGTAACATGGGCAAACTATGAATGGTTCGCTTTGAGAAACTCAGTACAACCACAAGCTAGAGAACAAACAGACCAGTATGCAACTATTGAGAAAATAAGAAGACTTGACCCTAACGTTCCAGGAGTTTATGTTAACCTTTCTGGTTCAGATGGAACTGCTGCCACTAAAGTAAAACTGAAACTTAGAGTTCCTTTGTCATCTTTCCTCATCTTCAGGTTTTTAAGATACTTGCCAAACTGGCAGGAAAAATTTCTATCGAACTTACTCCAAGCAAAAATAACTTAGTCATTGCACCAACACAAGACCCATTCACTATTACAGACGTAAAGGGAACAAATCAAACGTCATTCGCCGAATTTTGCAAAGACAAAGTTGACTTAGACTTTGGTTTCTCAAACTCAACAATGAAGTAAACTATTATTTCAATGCTGCTGGAATGCTTGGGACCCAGTTAAGTTCACATGCGAACAGTTTGAATGCAAGAGAATAGAAAGCAGACTTGCAGTCTATATGTTGGACCCAGATATTTCAAATGCTTTAGCTGCCAAATATATTGCAGTTCCACTTATGTTCCCTATACACCAAATATCTGTCAAAGACTTTGCAGGTGAAGTTGGAAACCAAAATCCAGGAGCCGCAGGTGCAAGAACAGATATTGCTTTAACAACTGCAATGAAACATGCAGATACTATGTTTGTACTGTTCAGACGAACTATAAATGACTATTCTTGTTTCTACAACCCTGGTATTAAATATCATATAAACATAGATGGCAAATATTATCCAAGAGAAGAATATTCTACAGTTGAGGATATGAGGTCATACAACTTGACATTAGATGCTATGAACTTTAACAACAACTTCACAACAACCATTAACCCTGAAATGCAAAGTTCTATTATGCCATATGTGAAAGTATGGACTCATACAGGAGGTCAAAAAACTCAATATACAAATGGAGACCGTTCAAACTTTTGGCTTGGCATTCCATTTGCTGACTCAGAAGACTTTATGGGTGGTATTTCAACTGTTGGTACAGTTCAAATACAATATACTGGTGACAGAGACGGTCCAGATGAATTGAAAGCAAAGAAGTTTACAAAACCAATAGCACTTTTCACGGAAGATGCTCTTTTGAAGATTCGTTCGATGAAACCTGCTGGGGCTCCTCAGATTGGCATAACGACAGCTTCCATCGAGCAGATTTTGGCAGCAGGTCAGTAAGTTGTTCTTGAACTGACTTCTCTCCGTCAAATATTGACAGTACGCCAGTTTTGACATAATATTGTATTATAAACTTTCCTTTAGTAATATCGTCAGTTTTGAAGTTATATTTTTGTCTGCTTCAAGAACTTTCACCATTTCAGTTATACCAACTTTCTTTGCTTTATGAAAATATTTTGGTTCAGCAAAGACTGCTATTCTATAACATTTTCCATTGTTTGTGTAAAGAACTATTCTGTCAATGTATTTGTATTGTTTGTGAGTATAAACTTTGTTCTGCTTCAATTCAATAAGATATCCGAATACGTCCATCTTTTTATTCTAAGTAAAATGTCATTTCCGAAAAATAGAAGCGTAAGTGTTTCAAAAGGTTTAATGGCGGTGGCAGATGTGAAGTTAAATTCACCAACTCAAACAAACAGTCAAAGTGTTGTTGTCAATGTCAAAGACAGAGATGTTGAAGTGGGGAAACCATACGAAGACGAAGATGGTATAACAATTGTTCCTGTAAAAGAACCAACATATCCTGAAGTTAACAGAGACTTAAGTTCTGTTGCAGATATTCGAAACGACTACCAACAACTGAAAGACAAACTTCAAACTCAGGAGAAGATTTGTCAAGCTTTAAGTATAATGTTAAACTTGGTCGAACACAACCCTGTAAAAGTGAACTCATATGTCATTGCACCTCATGAAGTTTTGAAAGAACTATTGAAACTTTTGACAGAGGCAGACGATATAAACATCAAAGAAATAGAACCCGACATTAGTTGCTGTGGTGTTTCATATAATGCCATTGACAAGATATACGTTATGAAAGGAGGTGAAACGTTGAACTTAAAATATAGTTTCCCAGACGTTATCAAAATATTTGACGACCACAACATTTCATTAAAATTTATTTGCTAAGTAAATGGCAGAAGACATAATGGTTTATACTATTACGACTAAAAACCCTGAGTCATATAATTCTATAACAACAAACTTACAAAGTCCTCAAGGACGATATTGTAAACTAACCTTAAACACAATGACGACTAAAGCCTGTTTTGCTCTTTTGACACCAGAAGACTTTATTGTTGTGAATGGTAAAAAATACTCCTTTGAAGATACTTACTCAGATATACCACCAACAGGTTTTGTTGACTTATTTAATACTTTAAGTACGGGTGTAACATGTGCTGCAACTAGAGCAGGTTTCATTATGTTTGGATGTCCGACTGAGTTTACTATAAACGATATGAGCTATAATACAAAACTTATTTCTGGTTTTTACTACCAACAGTTTCCTATAAAGGAAAAGGTGTCATACAAGGAATGTCTATTCCATTGACATTAAGCACACCAATCTTATATATTGTTTCAAACTTAGGTTCAAAGTGTTATTCGAATGTCGACAGAAACTATTATGACCAAAAGATACTTATGTATATAAACAATACTTTCTCTGCTGGTTTGCCTATTGTTCATTTGAATGCAGAATTTTCAACCTTAGTGAACTCAAACACTTTGGCAAGTATAACGTTGACATTAGTTGACGCAAACTTTGTTCCTGTAAAACTTTTATGTCCTATGTATTTGTCAATGACGGCAGAAAGTTTCGAATTGGAAGATGCAACTGGTGAAAGTATTGTATTACAAGAACAACTTCAACAACAAATAGCTCAAGAACAACAAATGCAACAAATGGAACAACAAAGTCAAGAATAAAAAAAATATTATTTTTTTATTTTTATAAAAATGTACAGAATAGATGTTTCAGATTTTTATGACTTCCAAGCATTCAGAAATATGTGTCCATTTAGAGACTATAACAAAGCAGTCGAGAATTTGAAACGTTTAGTCATTTATGTTGACTCTGCCCCAGAATGTTATGTCATGAAAGAATGGGATGTTGTCTTTAACAAACCAAGAGCAACAATAGTGTCTGAACAAGAATGTAGACAGAAACTTAAGAAAATAAAAGTCGTACAAGTTGGCATGAAGATGTTAGATGCTTGGGATATCTTATTGTCAAAGTTAGAAGATTTTTCAGTTCGAGGTATAAAGTTCTATACACCTTCTCCAAACTTCTATTCTATCTTCACTGGATATAAATATGAACAAGTAGAATGGAAAGAAAATATTATAGAAGCTTGGTTAGACCATGTCAAAGAAATTATATGCAATGGAAACGAAAAGGTTTATGAGTATATCTTATGTTGGTTTGCAAACATCTTACAACATCCAAGTGCTAAAAATGAAACTGCTCTCATTATAATTGGAAAACAAGGAACTGGTAAGAATACTTTCTTTACAGATATTTTGTGCAAACTGTTAGAAGGTTATTCGAATCCGAATATGACAAACTTAGAAAACATCTGTGGCAAGTTTAACTCCTCAATAGAGAATATGAAACTTATAGTTTGCAATGAACTTCAAAGTATAGATACAACAAAAGTTTTGAACTCAGATGCTTTGAAGAGTCTTATAACAGACAAAGTTGGAGTTGTTGAAAGAAAGTATAAAGACCAAAGAGTTTGTGAAAATGTTGCAAACTTCATTATGGTTTCAAACAATGCTGTTCCGATGAAGTTAGAAAGTTCTGACAGAAGATATGTAGTTGTCAGAACGTCAGATTCTCATATGCAAGATACAGAATATTTTGACGACTTAGCAGAAACTTTGACATCTGACTTTTACAACCACTTGTTCTCATATTTCATGACATTAGATATTTCTAAGTTCAATCCAAGACAAATTCCACATACTGAAGAGAGACAAACATTGTTAGAAGCAAACAAGAGTGTATATGAACTGTTCATAGAAAAAAGCGACTTTGAGTGTTTAGATGAAAAGTCTTTATATGATGAATATAAACAATATTGTCAAGAATAGGTTTATATGGCAGCTTCTAAACGTACATTCTTGGCAAATGTCAAAAGTCTTTTAGACGTACAGAATGGTGTATATACAAAGAAAAATTTTTCTGAGTAAATTTAAAAAAAAATATTTTTTATCCGATAGAAAAGATGACGAAATTCATCTCAGTAAACAAGTACATGTCAGGACTTAAAGAAGAACTAGACCCATTCACATATTTGAATGTTTACTTCTACCATTTTGAAAAGTCTTCATTCAGCAAAGTTTGGAACATCGAACCAGTTAAGTTTGCTATTGTGACTAAAAATTGCGAAATTTGAAGACTTAGACATAGAAGGTTTGTTAGCAGTCAAAGAAAGTTTTGACAGAAGGTTCTCAAACTTAAAGAAGGCAAAGCATACAAACTTGTTATACTTATGAACCAAAGAAGACAGACGACTATGAATATTATGAGTCTAAAGTTGTAGAAGTTCAAGGTAAATTGGGTAAAAAGATTTTAGAGTCTAAGCCAGTGTTTACTCCTAAAGAGGAAGAGAACATTGACATTGACCCAGAAATGTTCTAAAAATAAAATTTTATTTTTACATGTCAAATTTCTTTTTCTCTGGAACTGGTTCAGGTTCTTTCTTCTCTTCTTCTACTTTCTTTTCTTTCTTTTCTCTCTTCTTCTTTTCTGGTGGAGTTATGTCAAATTTGGCGCAACTATATTTATGTAAAAGTTCTTTGTCCTTTAATAGCTCATCTATTCTGTTTTCTATTTCATCTTCAAGAACAGCGCATGTGTCTTCTTTGCATTCTAAGAACTTTTGTTGGACTTCATCTTTCCAATCGGCGTCATCTCTGTCAACAAGTCTGTCATTGACAAATTTTAAGACTGCTCTTTGTAATGTTTTATGGTTCTTGTCATATTCCCAGAAACAGAACTTTAGAACAAATTCACCTTTCTTGTTGACACAATGTAAGATTTTATGGTCGACAGATGTTTTGCTGTCAAAAAGTTTGTCTCGAATATAGATAGCGAAATCGCTAGACATTTTCTAAAAGATAAAAATTTTAATTTTTCTAAAAATATGTTAGAAAAAAAGTTTGCTGACATTGACAAAAAATTTGAGAATGTTTTAAACAAGAACAAGAGGAAGTTAGAAAATGCTCAGATAAAGCCTATACATGACAAGTTCTTATTTGCTCAGAATGGTATAACAGGTCTAATTGCACCACCTGGGTCTGGTAAGACTTTCACTTATCTTAAAATGGCTGCACAACAACAAGAACCAGATGAGAAGACCCATTCTATGAGTTGGTTGTTATTTGTTCGACTTCTGGTCAATTTGACCAAACCGTCAATTCGTTCAAGATATTATAAAGAAGTCTAAGTTAGTATGTATAAAGGATACTGAGTTGTTAGATTGGATAAAGAAGTACCAAAGAAGAGTTTTTGAAGTATAATGCTATAAATGAGTATATAAATTCTAAGTTCAAAGACCCAAATGAGGAAATGCAGAGAATATTAGAGAAGAAACACTTCAGAACAAACAGAAAGAGATAGAATACATTTCGAAGAAATTGCAATCTTACGATTGGAAGACTTACCCTCATAGATGTCTTCTTATCTTAGATGTTCGCCTCTCATCCTTTGTTAAAGAATAGAGAACAAATATGTGTCGAATTCTTAAGAAGCTCAGACACTTTAACATCTCAGTTGTCATTTGTGTACAGACAGCAAAGAGTTTAAGTAAGGATGTTAAAAGAATACTTACTGACATTATACTTTTCCCCGGATTGTCCGAAGACGATTTCATGGAACTTATGAAAGAGTCCATGGCAGGTAAGTTTGACAGACATGAACTATGGGAGAAGTACAAAGTCAGACAAGACCCTCATACTTCTTTCAGAATTCATATCTACGCGAACAAAGTTCAAATTGTAAAAGTCAATAAAAATATAATGGTTCATCTCCCTACTTGTTTGAAGTTGTCAAAATACTCTGTTATTTTTTCTTTCAGTAGCGGTAAGTCTTCTTTGAAGGTAAGTATTGTACAACCTTTCATATCATAGTGTGTTTGAGGTAACGTATCTTGAACTATTTGTTTCACATCTTCATTTGGGGTCATTGAAATCGGTAAGTTTTCGCGATAGAACCAATTTCTGTCAGATTTGTAAATCTTAGCAAGGTCGTAAAAGCTTTTGTTGTTTCTTCTGACTAAATGCAACATAACCATATCTTTATCTTCTTCATTTTCCATCTCTTCAGTATAAATCATATACTTATAGTTCTTTTCCTTACCTTTTGGTACGAACGTGGTATTCTTTTCTGAATGCTTTTGTCTTTTGCTTCAAGCTTGTTTTCCATCTCTTCACGTTCTTGTCTATGAATTTCGTCAAGAAGTCTGTAAATATACCAAGCATAACGAGGCGAAGCCCACATTGCAACAGCATTTACAAGAAGTCTATGTACATAAACCTCTCAAACCGTTTGGCAATTTTTCACGATTTTCATAGAGTTTTGGCGACTGGGGTTTTTTATCTACTCGCTGTTCTTCACTGTTTTCAGAAAAAAGTATGTCTCGCTGTGCTTCGCTCAAAAGTTCTTGTGTGCTTTGGTTCCTAAACCAGTCTTTAGGAAGCTTAGTATCTGGAGCATAACATGCTGTCAAAATACTTTGCATTTGGTACATATCGTCTTTGACCGAACGAATGAGACGGAGTTGTTTGTTAAACTGAACCCACTCATATTCTTCATTTATAGCTTCATGGACTATAACTGTTGTTTGTGTTCTCTGTTGTTGACATATCTGTCTTTACATACAAAATAAAAAAATTTGTTAGAAAAAAATTAGCGTTATTTTCTGACTTTCACAAAGACCAAAAATAAACGCTTTACATGTATTTTTCAGCAACTTCGTCAATATAATTTTATAGCTTTATCTATTCATCTACTTCAAACGTTTCTTTACCTTTTATGGGAGCACCATACATTTCTCAACTTTTCAAGTAGTTCTGTTTCTGCAGCTCTCATATCATTAACAAACACAACCTTGACTCTATTGACTGTACTGTCATATCTTTGAGTTATATTATATGTTCTTCCTATCTTATATCTCTTTGTATTGAAGTCCTTCGGTTTCTGAACGATGTAAAGTAAGCCTTCACTGCAACGTTCCGTATCGAATGAACCATATGTTATGAAGTTATATCCAACAACTGGGTCTAACCATAACAAAACTATTGTATAAGACTTTTGTCGATGAGATATGCTGCAGTTCCATAGAATCTTACCGATATCATAAGCTCAGGATTTCTTGTCAAAATTTTCTGAGTTGAAGCATTTCTAACCCAGTGGTTTGTTTTCTTTTCAGATGGAGATATATATGTCTGACAAAGAATATTTGTTGTATTTCTTTGAGTATCTTACGTTTAAATCACCTATTCTAACCACTTTGGTGTCATTGTCTATCTTTCTAACTGTTTCAAACTCAATGTTTGACATATCTGTCTTTACATACAAAATAAAAAAATAAATAAAAATAAAACTAACTTTATTTTTTCTATCTTAAGGAAATTCATGAAATTTGGTCATTTTTCAGCAAAAATATATTTTAGGTGAAGAGGTGAGATTTCACCTCTTTTTTCACCTAATTTTTCACCTCTTTTTTCACAAGCGTTTTACATGAATTGTACGATGTATATTTGAAATCCTAAACAGTTTTGTAGCTTCTATTTCTTCTTTTAGTACATCGAATGTTTTAACAATGCCGAAAGTTTCTTTATACTTCTTCTTGACATCAGATAGAAGGAAATCGTCAGCAGTTGGATAGTTTTTGTTCAGAAATTCTAACATGTCCATTTTATTTTCTGCTGGCTTTTCTGCTTCTTTCTTTAAGTCTGCATAGTCGTTTCGCATTCTTTCTATCTCTTTGACGGAGTAGTTATATTTCCTCATTGCTGCTTTACATTTAGAACATTGCGGGTTCATTTTTGCGTTATATTCTGAAACCTTACCTGCTAAAACAACCAAGGCGTCAATGGTTTTCTTTAAATCTGAAGCAGTTGGTTTTATCTGTTCATGCCATACCTTACCTCTTCTATCTTTATCTCTTATCTGCCATACACATTTTGCAGCTAATGAAACAAAGTTGTCGTATGTCTTAAACTCCCCAGATTTATATATGTCAGAGATGTTCTTATATAACATGTCGCAATCTTTGTCCATAACTTTATGGTTGCAATGAAAACCAAGGAATTCATAGTTTACCTTACGAATGAACTTCTTTATTTCTACTGAGTCAGTTGCTTTGACTTCAATTTCATCGAATTCAGGAATAGTGAGCTTTTGTTGTTGGATTTCAGGTAGTTTAGGCAAATGGTCAATAATGTCCTGCATTTCATAAAGATACTGTTCATTTGTTTCATCTTTCGCACTACAGTCTAAATTACTTGTTAAAAGTTCTTGCTTTATTCTTTGTATTTCTGTTTCAAAAGTATATGAAGAAGGAATGAAGCTTTTGATTTCTACTAACATAGATGTTGGATTCATGACTAACGAGTTTGGTGCTGTTGTTTGAATTGTTGTTGTGCCGATTGTTGACATTTCTGTTCTTTTATACAAAATAAAAAAATAAATAAAAATAAAACTAACTTTATTTTTTCTATCTTAAGGAAATTCATGAAAATTCAAGAGGGTGAAAAATGAGGTGAAAAAAGAGGTGAAATCTCACCTCTTCACCTAAATTATATTTTTTCTGAATTCAGCAACAAAATGAACGAGGTCAGGATGTATGTAAATACATTTGAATTCATTCATAACACCCTTTGTAAGCTCATAAAATGCTTGTTTTGAGGTCGAGCCACTTTTGGCTCCACCGTATTCTTTCAACCAAAACTCAAGAATTTCCTGCATGAATTTTGTATAAAAAGCAACCGCCGGAATTCAGACTGTTGCTATATTCTTCACAAAATGCCTTATAATACTCTTCCCAGGACTTATTTTCCAACAACTTTCTAAAGTCTTTCCTAAACTGACTGACTGACTGACGGCACAAAGTGGCTTAACGAAAACATTAATATATAAAATTCATGAAAATTCAAGAGGGTGAAAAAACAGGTGAAAAAAGAGGTGAAATCTCACCTCTTCACCTAAATTATATTTTTTGGTCCGGGAACAACTTTCTCTCAATTGGAGCTGTAGCATACTCTTTGCGTAAGCGGTTCAGACCTTCTTCGAATTCTTGGTCTCTCTTGGACTGAGATTGGAATTGCTGGGGTGGAGCTTGCTGGAACATCCAAGGGTTGGGGCAGTAAGGCATAGGCTGAGGAGGGTAGTTCGGGAAGCCTTGTGGTGGGTAGTAACCTTGAGGTGGAAATTGGTAGTAATTCGGAGGTACTTGCTGGAACTGAGGTTGCTGAGGAGACTGTTGTGGTTCTTTAGGTTCCTCTGGTTTGGGAATGGACTCGGTTGGAGGTACGTCGGACATTCGTTTGTGTCCTGTCGGACCACAACGATAAAAATCTCTGCTACTAGCAGTACTTTTACTGACAGTAGCAGTACTTTTTCTGACAGTAGCAGTACTTTTACTGACAGTAGCAGTACTTTTTCTGACAGTAGCAGTACTTTTTCTGACAGTAGCAGTACTTTTACTGACAGTAGCAGTACTTTATGTTCGAAAACCCTCTCAAATTTTCCTTTTTACTGACAGTAGCAGTAGTTTTTCTGCTCCTAGCAGTACTTTTACTGACAGTAGCAGTACTTTTACTGACAGTAGCAGTACTTTTTCTGACAGTACCAGTACTTTTTCTGACAGTAGCAATGGTCGAGGTCGAACCTACCGACGAGGCAATTTACCTAATTGAAATTAACGAGCTTGTTAAAGACTTCCTCAGGCAGAATGTAAAAGGCAAGCTTGTTAACGGTTGGATAACGGGAAGGGCTGCCTTGAATCTCGAGACTTCGACTGGAATTCCAATTCAAATACCAGACGGGACAGCCTACGACGACATAAAGCAAGCAAAGAAGGAAGCCATTATAAAGTTCTTTGCCAAGCGTCCTTGGATACTACTTCCAAACAGAGAGAACCCTTTCCCAAGAATGAACCAAATTCTCAAGGGTCTCCTTCACTTCTCTGGTCAACCATTCTACATAACCTGTGAAGGCGACATTCAGCCAGTTCAGTAAACATCTCATTTTAACTCACTTTTTTTATGTTTTTTGTGAAAGTGTCAAAAATAAATTGTTTTCATGAGTTTTCTACGATGTTAGAAAAAATGTTATTTTCTAATATCTTCACATTCAATACTTTTTCAGCACTTTTTCGTAGTTATATATGAAAGACAATTCGAGATAAAAGTCATAGTACAATGGAATTAATATGTTGCACACCATTTGTTGTGAACCAAACTTGAAAGTCAGAGAAACTGTTACTAGATGGTTCGTAGAATTTAGAAGCAAAGTCATAAAAGTCCTTACCAATACATAGAAAACTATTGTTGCTTGAACTGAAACTTGCATGACACATAACATTTTGAGGGTCAAACACGTTTCTATAAACTGTCAAATCTGCTGGTGGAAGTATAAATTTAAATGGACCATCTGGTGGTAATGGTTCGTTCTGGTTTAGTAACCGAAGAAATTGTGCCCAAGAACGTTTGTCTACTTTCCAAAATAAAAACTCTGTATCTCTTGGAGGGTTAATTTCAATCTTTTGAAATGAAACGGTGGAGTTCATCTTGTCATATTCTAGTTTCAGATAGTATGTTCCATTTAGTAAAGAGTCGTATTTTTTTGAAATTCCCAATAATATTTGTTCATTTGAGTTTGAAAGTCATTTAGAGTTTTCTCAAGACTTTCGTCTGAACGAACTGTAAAGATTCTCATTTCGTCAAATTTGTCTATTAGACCATCAGAACCTTTATACTGCCCATGAAAATATACTGCGAACATAAATGCGTTAGTTCTATTTGAAAACAAAACTCTTCTAAATCCTATTGCCTTTGCATCTGAAGGACTTTGAAGCCAACGAATTGGATAGTCAAACCTGTATGCTCGGGATGAAATTTCTTCATCTGAAATAGTCCTACCAGCATTTGTAAAGATATAGTCTAACGGTTTTGTATCTGCTACTTTTGTTCTTTGTTTTTCAACCTGAAGCATTTAATATATGTAAAAATATATTGTTTTAAAATGGTATGCCATTTCATATTTCTCATCTAACAAACAAGTTTCCCAACGGTCTTCTCCAACAAACTCATCGTACATTTCAAATAAAATTTAAAAAATGTCACTTTTTTAAAAATAAATTTTTTATTTCATGCAATGTTTTATTTCTGTGCCGTCTTCAAGTATGCCCCAATATTTCCTTTTCGATATTACATGAACTTCGGAAAATACCTTATCTAGCTTAAAACAGCCCATCTTTTCACCGACCATTCCCATTTCAATGAGTTTGTTATAGCCTTCTTCGTTCGTCATGAGTGCGTCAATGTTCTCATAGTAAACCTTCACTTTGGATTTGACTTCGGAGAAGAATTTGTTGTAGTTGTCAAGGACTGCCTTTGCGAACTGAGGGTAAGACCAATATTCGACAATAGGTTTTAATGTGGTTACTAAGCCACTTTGACCTTGAGTGAATTCGTACTTCAAAACAAAAGGAGAAAACCTTTCAACAAAGTTGTCGACCTTCTCATAATGTTTACTCTTCATCTCTTGAGGTTTCTTAATGGAATATCCCCATGTCGAATTCATAAGCAATTTGAGTGTCATTGCAAGTTTGGGGTTTGAAGCTTTCCTAATATCATACAGTTGTTGTATGACTTTTCCAACTGTATAGTTCCTTCCCGGGAACTCACCATCTTCGTTTGGAATTCCAGTCGGAATATATTGGACAAACCTCATGTATGCAGCGTTAAGGTCGACATAGTATATCTTTTCATCTGAGTCGAACTTGTTGCAACCAATTGGTCCAGTTTGTGGAAATTCAAGTGAGTCTCTTATCTTCTGAGAAACTTCTCCTGTTATCTCATAAACATCGTCGAAGCAACCTGTTTCATATAAAACCTTCTGACCTAACTCAGATGCTCTCCAATATAATTTGACGTCAATTGGATGTCTCAATGGAAGTTTGTTTATAGCATCTTGAAGTTCTTGCAACCTCATTGGAAGTTCTTCTGGTTCAGGTTGGTATCCGAACATACCAACCCCTTGTGGAACTGTGTACTTCTTTTGTACTAGAACTTTGTCTGGAACAACTTTTGGTCTTGCTAACAATGAAAAGTTTGTTTCGTCTTTTGGTACAAAAGTTTCTGTCAGCTTGTCATCTGGAATTGGTTCCAACAAACCTTTCTCGAAAAGAATGTTTACAGCTCTGACAATGTTGCACTTACTTTTACCAAAGAATGGGTTTGTAAGACTTTCGTTCAACATGAAGTGGTTGTGGACAATTACAATCTTCAACCATGGTAAGTCTTTGTCAACAACATAGTCGTCATGTGAAGAACCTTTAGCTGTAGGTATGTTGACTCGGATATTGACATTTGCCAACGGTGCAATTTTTGCCAATTGACCTCTGAGAATGTACCTTGTCTTAACACATGACTCAAGATACTTCATCTTCTCATCTGTAACAAGACCAGAGTTCCTGAGACATGTAAGAATGCAAGGTTCATTGACAATTGTTTCAATTGAATTGTAAATTCCATACCTTGTCAAGTCAATGTCAGACTTATTTATGAAGGGGAAGTATCCAGCATGTTGTCTGACTGCTTGAGGGTTAGGTTGGTACCATTCGAACTTGACACTTGCAATTCCTTCAATTGCATTCAAAATGTCTGAGTCGGAGTCAACCATTTGTTCTCTCTTTGTAGTCTTGAAAGCGTCAAGAAGTTTTGCGGCTGTTTGTTCATTGCCATTTGCATAGTAAATGTGACCATCCAAATCTGTTATGGTCAATCTGAGATTGTGTCCTTTCTTATTTCCGGCTTGAATTGCAGCAAGTACTCCCATGAAGCCTTCTTTGTTCTTTCCTTCGTCAAAGTTTACTGTAAAGGTTCGACCAGATGTAATTTGACTTCTAACTTCACGATACTTTTCATATGCATATCTTGTTCTTCCATGGGAGCATGTGCGTCTTCACCTTTCCTTTTTTCCTTCTCAAGGATGCAATTGTTCGTCATGTTTCCAGTAGAATCTGGCAAAGCCGTCGTGTCCTTCAACTTGAGGTTCACTAACACGAAAGGCATGTCCATAAGACGTTCTTCTTCTAACCTCTCTAGTCTGTTTGGATAATTGGCACGTGCTGTTTCCAAATCCATTTCGTAGCGAAGACCAGACAATTTGTCATAGACTTTTATGGGTCTTCCCTTCCTATATTTAAAATTCTTCGAAACTCTCCACCATATCTTTGTAACTCTGCTTTTATTCTAGCAGACTTTCTATCCATTCTATATGGGGGCATTTTTATAAAAATAAAAATTTTTTTCTTTACTTTACATAACCGCCTGCTGCCATAAGTCTTTGACGCCAACCCATACCAGCTAATGAAGGTTGACTTGGTTTAGTTTGGAAACTAAACTTTGGTTTTGGTTTATCTTCAGTTTTTGGTTTCTCTTCTTCTATCGGTTTTTCGTCACTTTTCGGTTCCTCTGACTTTACTTCACTTGCGGAACAGTTGTGTCGTCAACATCTTCATAAATATCATATGCCATTTGTTTTTGTTTTCCTTTCAACTTTTTGTGTTTGTTGTAAAGTTTAGAATATTTCGACTCTAAGTCAATGAGATGTTCTATAATGAACTGTTGGTTCAGTGAAGTAAACTTTTCCATCTGTTGTCTCGAAAGCTCCTTCAGACTTCAATATTTTATTTGTGAGAGTCTGTTTCTTTTTTTGAGATACTAGCCGTTCCATTTCTATGAAAAGTGACTTGATAGTTAGGTTTGTATTTCCAGACCTGGCACTTTCTATTATTTGAATTTTCTCTTCATCTGTAAGTTCTTTGACAGGTTTTGACAATGTTCTGAACTTTTTGTTTGTGGTGTCAAATCTACCCTTCAACTTCTTCGGTCATTTCATCTCAGTAAAAAAATTTAGTTTGGTTTGTTTTCAACTGGTTGTGTTGTTTTTTAAGTCGGTCTAAAACTTCCTGAGGTATAGGAAGAACTTTACAAACACGTGGTGTAAATGCTGGAAGCCGACAAATCCATCTTGAACTCATTTGTCTCAATGCTGCATTGTTCATTTCATCTCAGTAAAAAATTTACATTCCCCAAGTTTGAGGTGGTTGCGGTTGGTTATTGTTTACCCACTGTTGTGCATGGTTATATCCTCTGTTAAAGAATCTTTCACCTTGGTCCATATAGTGTCCTGCTTGGTTATAGTAGTCATTTGCTTTGTTATAATAGTTTCCTGCTTGTCTTCCTACATTGTCCATCCATCCTTGAACTTTTCCTCTTGTTTCAGGATTTGGAATAAGATTTGTTGCATCTCGTGCTACATCCCAACCTTTCTGTACATTTTGTATAATAGGTTGTGCTTTCTCTTTAAGTATACCTAATGTACTCAAAATCTTCCTTCCAACTCCAAATACACCTCTGGCTATTGTTCCCACTGCGGGTAAAAATCTAGATGCGACTCCTGCTAATGCGCCAATAAACCCATTTCTTATAGGGTAAAAAATGACGAATCCAAACAAACCCCTATGTTTCTAAAGCGACAAAGAAAGCACTCATGATAAAAATCTTTAGTTCAACACCAAATGCTTGGTTTATGGATATCTTGGAAAAACATTCCGAGAGTTAGAACAGATGGACCACCATACTGGCTAATATTTGTCGGTCAAAACACAAGATACTGTGAAGCCATACCATTATGGTCCAAAGCTATTTTAGATATCTTAGCAGCTTTGACAATATTCGTTGACAAATACCATCAACAAAACTGACATCTGACTGTGAAGTTCTTTCAAATCAGATGATGTAAAAAACTATCTGCGTTCAAAAAATGTAAAACCAATATTTCATTGTCGACCAAAACCATTCTGCTCTTGGTGTCATTGACGGTTGTATAAAAATGTTAAGAGACTTAAACCAACCACAAGGTGGTGAAGCAAATGAAATGTCATATGACGACAAATATAGACACTTCTCCATGGCAAAGATGAGACAAGTTTTAAATATTTACAATAGCCGTAAACAAAAAGGTTTTGGGAAACCACTCCCCCGAAGAAATGAAAAACAACCCTGACTTAGAGAAAGACTATATATTTAATAATTTAGTCAAAAGAGACAAACAAGAAAGAATGCCGGGCTTCAAACTTCAGAAAGGTGACAAAGTAAAAATAGAATACCTAAACGCGACCCATATAATACTATTGACTATGACAACAATGGGAACCTGACAGGTACTCACATTCGTTTCGTAAAAATAGAGAAAGTATACAAGAGAATATTATGAAGTTTTAGGCAAACATGGCAAAATGTACACACTGCAAGCAGAAGATAAAACTACTATTGTCAGACCTCGTTTGAAACTTGTCAAAGTTCAAGGTGGTATACTTTCAAAGACAATTCCTAACAAATATAAGACAACTCCTGACGGAATATGCTAAAGAAGTTGAAAATGACGACTAAGCAATTCTATACCATGCGTAAACTGTCATGTAAGGTGGCATGTATTCTTTACTTTGTCCGTTGTTTGCGTATATCCTGAAACGAAATGTGTATGGTTTCCTTCTCCCTGCGTGTCATCCCAGTAACAATTTATAGCAAACTTAACGTCATCTTTAACATCATATCCTTTACCTTTTGTCATTCCTGACCAATCCCAATATCTATGCTTATGCCAACCTGCTTGAGATGTACTTAAATCTATGTAATGACTGTGTGCAGGTAAATTTTCACCTGAAATCGTTTTACTTCCACCTGTTTCCTTTGAAGAGTTTGCACAATACAAAAACCTGTCGACTATTTGTTCCATGCACCAACACCAAACATTACTTGAGGACCTCTTGCATCCATAGATGTAAAATAGAACCTACTGGGTTCATTAAATCAAACATATGAGATATATAGGATTGTCTCTTTTGAACTTAAAATATAGTGCAACTATTTCAGGTTTTCTTCTGGGGTGTCAGAATATTTTTTATAATATAATCTTATGTTTTCAGGGTAGGTAAAATCTTGACTATAATATTTATTTCTGTCATCTGTATAATAATATACTATTCTCGTTTTTTCTATTGCATTATATCTTTTATATCTATAATAATCTAAATATAATGTTAGCTTTTGTTCATCTACATGTGGTGTTCTGTCGTCATCTCCATAGTCATAATAATATGGTGCTGGAGCTGGTCAGGCAATGTCATATCTGCCATTTCATAAACTCTTAAATATTTCTTTTGTTCGTCTCCATATAAGTTTAAGTAGCAGTTTTGTCTAATGGAACTTTAACTTGTGTACCATCATTCTTTTTATAGCTTACATACATTTCATTGTTATTTTTCGGAATGAGTTTACACCGTGTACCATTTTTTAAGGACTGTACCAACTGCCATCTAAAATATTTATTTTCTTCATTGACAGAAAAGTCACCAACAATAGTTTCAATATTTTTTTTGTTCCTATCAAACTTTGGTATATTTCATTGACATATGTTTTATCTGCTTTCTTTTCAAGGCTAACGTTTAAGTCTGTTATTTCAGATATAGAATGTGTATGTCCAACGGCACTTTTACTGTTTAAGGTTTCTTGTAAGTTTGTAATATTTGCAATGGTATGTGTATGTCCAACATCACTTTTCCTGTTTAAGGTTTCTTGTAAGTTTGTAATATTTGCAATGGTATGTGTATGTCCAACGGCACTTTTCCTGTTTAAGGTTTCTTGTAAGTTTGTAATATCAGA